CCCCCCCCCCTCCGCTTGTTCCCTCCCTCCAAATCGTAAAGAAACATAAAGCGAAAGCAGTGATTGTTTCACTGATCCCACTGAAAGCACAAACGACTGCTTTTTTGCCCAAAAACGAGCGCATATTGCGCGATCGAGCCAAGTCGGGTCGAATTCTCGTAGCTGGCCAAGGAGGGTTACGGGTTTGGGTTCTACCTTCCAAGTAGTAGGCTTTGGAACCTGGGATGTTGGAGGGAAAGGAGGGGGACAGCTCCCCGGATATGGCTAGCTCCCCGCGGCCAGCGTTTAGCCCGAGAAAAAAACCGTTGCACAGCGAGTGGGTGTTTGGGTGCTGCTTTCCTGTACATTGTCCTTGGTTGCGTGATGTCTACGTTGGAGAAGTGCGTTTGCGTGGTGCTGCTGCTCAAAGCTGCTTCACAAATCCAGGTATCCACTGATCTTTCAGACATCCACGTTCTACACGAAAACATCAGATTACAGGTAACATGCCCTTACCTGTACCTGGTAGCGGGTCGCATTTATACATTCCAGGTTGGCTAGTTACCTGTATAAGATGTTGCTCCTTGTATAGGATGCTGCTCGTTACTTGTAGAGACCGCCTACCCTCCCGCGCTGTATCGCTTCCTCTCCGCCCCTCAGCTGTCGCTAGGACCAGTTCTGGTCCGCTGTGTTAGCTGCACCCCCCTTTCTCTCGACTGTCCCCCCATTCCCTTCCCGCCGCACCCGCAGCCTCTCATCCTTTCCAGCTCTACCTCTTTTCCCGCCCCCTCCGTTCCCCCTCCCCCGTTCCCCTCCATTCCCCCAATTTTCGCCACAGAATATCTTGGTCTTTCGTTGCAGTAATGTAGAGACCACCAGTACGTGGTCAACAAATAACAACCAGTTCTGTCTGTACTATGATGTGAAGCTAAACAAATCCTTCTAGCAGCGAGCACAGTCGGTGGATTGAGCATGGATCACGCTGGCTCCCTGGATTTTAATTAGCTAAGTCAAAAACTCTCGGAGTTACACCAGAAACCCCTCTCTCTCTCTCTCTCTCTCGAAAATAGCGCCGGTAGCAGCAAGATTACGTCCGTGGAACTTCAGAAAAGCACGCAAAGTCGCTAACGCTGTGTGCATCTCAGTTTGGCTGAAGCGCTCGGGTTCTAAGAGCCACTTCGACTAGTGGGGCAGCTCGGATACGTGAAGTGTGAGTGTGCTTTCAGGCTGATCCGGATTGGTGGATCTATGCTCCGACCTATGCTCTCGGCGCTGTTCTTTGCCTTCTGCAAGCTCCGGGAAGTATTATTTGGCGCGCCGCAAGCGCCCTCGTTATCCTCTTCGGAAGTGCGCTAATTGCGTTCCTGATCTGGACGATGCATCACGTCGCCGCCGCCGTCACAGACGATCCCTTCGATGAGGTATTTGCCACATTCACTTCACGCATATTTCTCATTGGCCTCCCGAAAATTCTCGTGAAATTCGACAAAAATCGCCCAAACTTAACTCAATTGATTAAAGGATAAAGAGAAAATGATGAAGTAGAAAAGATAAAAAAGGGAAGAAAAACGAAGGAAATAAATGGCCAACGAACGTGCTGCCCTTGCGAAGATGCGTTTTT